TGTGTGTGTGTGTGTGTGTGTGTGTGTGTGTGTGTGTGTGTAATTGTGTGTGTGTGTGTGTGTGTGTGTGAGAGAGAGAGAGAGAGAGAAAAGGAAAGAGAAGGGAGATATAACATTTTACAATAAGGGAAATAAATAGATACAGTCTAGAGTAATTACTATGTACCAAACATTATAATAACTGAATGTCAGATAAAGAAAACATTAGTGTTAAGGTTAGCGTCATGTCCTCTTTACCCTTGGTTTGACCGTCTCTGCTATGACTTCCAGGGCAATGTGACATAGTAAAAAACACACTGCTAGCCACTCAGTCCGTTAGCCAATTGGCTATTTTTTCCATCCACATCATCAAACTAGGTCTTTTGTAATCATTTTTACTAAAATATGGAATTCATATTTTTACCTTGTTTTCCAATTTATGTGTAACTATCATTTGCAGTTTAAAGGTCGAACACATCAGCTTGTAAAACTTAGTTTTTGACCACATTAAGGAAAACCTGAGCTTGTTTTGGATCATATATGTGTATTTCCCAGAAGTAACATAGAAACTAAAAGTACCATAGGGTCAAGACAACCTTTTAGTACTGGCTTAAATTAAAGTGGATACTCAATTTAATCGTTATGATGTCCTTTATTGAGGTTTGACAGGAAATACTCAACTTCTTTATAAAGCCAGATAGAATCTGTTTATAGAGACGCGTCATAAGTTTTATCGCTATAATATCATTATTATTAAACCAAACATCCTGGCTGGATGCTTGATAGTTAACTAGAAAGTGGTTGATAGATTTGTTTCCTACCTGGATCTTTGTTATCTTAGCATTATGTCTCAAGAGTGCACTTATGCATTTACATAGGTGAAAAGGTGCATTTATTAATCAATAACTATAATCCTACCCAAGCGTTGTAAGTTGTATTTGCCATATAGTTGCAAACATGTAATAAACTGAAGTTGTGCTTGTTCAAAAGCAGCTTATTAATCAACACATTAGACTCATATGTCGGATTTAAGATCTATTCTAGATTCAACTGCCATTTTGTTCGCTGCTCCCTTGTGTGAGGACTTGACATAATGCCGCCATCTCAATAGGAATGAATATTTGTGAAAATGTACTCATTCAGATTATGACAGGAAGAAGTTCCACCCCTCAAAAGAATAAAGGATGGAATGATATGACCTGTCTAGACTGCAAAGGGTTGTATAGGACACCTGGGCAGGGACAGGCCGCCACAGCACACCTGGACTGACAATTTGACTGTGGCTCTTTAACCCGAGGGCCTAATACCAACTACACTAAAGCAAAGCAAAGCACAAAGCAACCCTGTCTCCTATGTCCATATACGACTAAACAGCTTTCCCAAATATCTTGTGGTAACAGTTTAATCCTTTGCTGGATCATGTTAAGAGCCATTAGTTTTCTTTTTATTAACAGCTGAATCACCAACTATGGATATTACCACTGTCACACCCAAAAAATCATATCATTTACTTTAAAATGTATTTATTGTTAAGTCATTCCAAGGAGACAGGGGTTCTTAAAGTCGTACTAGGATTGAAAAATAAAATGAAGCCTATAATATATTACAATAAAAGCTTTTCTACAGAAATAATGGTTCTAGCCTAACCCTGGCAGTGTTGTCTTATGTCTTATGTTGTGATCTGTCCTTATATGATAAATCTTGTTTTTACCAGGTTTGCTATTGATAATCCATGTTTGAGATTTGTATCTATCAGGCTGCAACCTAAGCCAAACTCAAGAGACATTGTGCTTTTTTGTGTTCAAACCTGACTTCAGCCCAATGTTTTCCTCGAAGACACGGCCAACGTGACTGAACCTGACCCAAACCCCAAATTCTGTCCAAACTTGACCTGACGGGTACCCATACTCAAGCAGTCTATCTATGAAGGAAAATAAGGGAGGAGGACTCACATTCATTCAGGATTGTTTAAAATGTAAAAGTCTACTTTTTAAAAGCTATATTGTTTTGACCATCAGTTCCCATTCCAGTTATTGTGTAACCATTAATACCGGGTAAAGCACTGGTCCTTTCTTTGCATCCTAACATATGCTGAGCATCATTTTAGAATGACAAGGGTTTCCTCATGCAGAATGATGCTGACTGATCTGTTCAAGATACAAGATTTCTTATTGAACCACAAAAGCCTGAGGCCAAACAATGAACTGTCTCAATCTGCCAGCCAGACATGGTGGTTTTTGCTCCATTAGTGAAGGATATACTATGCCAACATACCTGTTACTTCCTTTAAACTGCTTTTCTAGATTTTCCCTTTGACAATGAGATGAGTGACTCCTCTTTGCCTTGTCTCTTCTTGATGTCCTGACATTAGCAACAGTAGTGACACTGTTATGTAGACAGTAGATACCAAAACAATATCTCATTTGTTTTTAATCCCTGGTCCAAGAAAAATGACTTGCTGTTGAGAACATACTTGACTTGAAGAACCAGTCCAGTGAGAAGGTTATTTGTATATTGTGTCATTTGTGTCTTTGTCCCTCAAGAATATAAAATAGTGTGAAAAGCTGCGTGAAAATTAACATGTTTAGGAGGACAAAACTCGAATGCTAATCTTTATTTTGTTGTTCTCTTTCAGTGCATGTGTTTCTGAAACTTAGATTCCATAAAATTGAACTAAAAAGACATATGATGATTAACATTTGATAGAGCAAAAATAACATCCCCATGTGTTTCTGAGAGAAGTAGATAAAGTTTTAACATCTGGAACAAAGTTTCTTCGGGTAGAGATGTGTGCATGTGGCAGCCTCCCTTATCCTGCATTCTTTTGGAGTGAATGCTTTTGTTGCATTGGTTGTGCACATCGTCAGAAATTAACACTGTGTCTGCAAGATGCAATATGCACATGATCAGTATAGTGCAAGGGCAATATATGACAAAGTAGGCAACAACAGCAGTGGCAACAATGACAGACGTTTTCACAAAGAACTAATAAACATACCATGGTCATCATGTGCTCGATATCCTACAGTAGCTGTCACCTTGTGATCTCAGAATTAACAAACCTCCTCCACTGTTGCCATGTTTATTGTTTACATCATGCAAATCCAGTAGATCTAAACGGTCTGAGCACTCTGG